TTAGTTCACATTACAACAAGAGAAAAGTGTTATTAGTATATTTTGGGAGTTTGGAGCTCACACTTTTAGTGCGTGTTTTGCAGGGAGGATTGGATAGCACTAGATAATGTTTAAGGAAGAATATAAAAGATAAAATCTTGTTTAGTATTAGTGTGTATCATTACATGATATGTAACACCACAGATATAAAGTTCAACAAGCAACCTTTAAGATTTTAAGTTCCTGAAATGACATATGAATATAATCCCTCGATAGATAGTTTTGCAGCTGAGAAATTCTTGTGCGAGTTGAATGGCACTTTGTTTATTATTGCAGTGCATCATCGAAAAGGAGAACAACTTTAAGGAACCAGGAGAAAGATACCGTTCCTGGGCACTGGACAGGTAACTAATCTCTAGTCATTAGTCAACTTAGAAATTTATAAAATGACTATCATGCAAGTTGATTTATCTGCTTATTCCCATTTCTCCTTCAGGCAAGAGAGATTCATCTGCCGGTGGGTAGATGCTTTATCCGATCTCAGGGTCACCCATGAGATCCGTAGTATCTGGGTTTCATACTGGTCTCAGGTCTGATTACCCATACCTTTCTCATATGTTCGGCACTGAGGATTTATAGCACTGAACAGTATTAAATAAGAAGCTAAAATCTTATTCATTATACTATCCAGTCCTCTGTATACTTTGTTACCAGTATTTTCTATATTTGCTTTCAAGGTTATGTACTCAGTTTTTGATTTTTATGCTGCAGGCCGATAAGTCCCTTGGTCAAAAGCTCGCCTCACATCTCAATGTAAGACCAACAATGTAGAGGCTGTGAGAATACGGGATGTTTTCAGTTGCTGTGGGCGGAAGAGTAATGTAGACAGGATATGTTGTTCGGAAGTATAAAGTCACTCGTACTTCTTTTATAACTGTATTCTTATATGTAATGAAGAAACTAATGTTGCCTTAACCACAATAATATTATATTGAATGTAAGAAATGACAATTGTACTCTCTCCACCAACTCGATCTTTGTCTACTGGTGATTACTGGTTATTGTCGCACAATCATTTGAGAAGGAACCCGAAAAAGCACAAATTCGGAACTAAAACTATGTATTTGCAAAGTTGGGTCGTGATTGTGCAGTGAAGTTGTGGGTTTTTGCACATATATGGGTTTTTCTTTTGCTATAATAAGATTAAAAACTTCTGTATGTCCCGCAGCAAGAAAGGAAAAGTGAAGGCTTCCATTACTTGGCTTGTGAAGTCTGGTAGATAATGAGGTATATTTGAAGCTTGAAAGGGGCTTCAAATGGTAAGTTTGAAGCATATAGCGTTTATAGACTTCATTGGTCGTCAAATTGACATGTTGCTGGGTATTTTTAGTGTTTGGTAGTTGACATAGCCATTGATTTAGTACGCCCTCCATCTTATAAAAATATGCTTGCTTTCCTTCTTTTATTTAACCTTGTCCCTATCTGAGACGATGGAATGAGGTATTCCATGGAGTCTTACCACTTCTTTGTTGAAAACTCTTGCCACACTAGCTGCCGTAAAAGGATTCCTGAGCCCAATGAAGTGCCCATATTTACTCAGTCAGTCGACCACCACTAGAATTGTGTCCATGTTTCCAAATTTTGGTAAACCCTCAATGAAATCCATGGCAATATCTTCTCAAACCTGATTTGGTACAATAAGTGTTTTTAAAGGCCTCTCGGTGATAGAGCACTATACTTGTTTTGTTGGCACATGGAACATCGGCTAACATACCTGCTTATTTCTGACTTCATTCCCTCCTAGTACACACTTGCTGTGATACGTTTGTAGGTTTTCAAGAATCCAGAGTGGCCACCCAACTTGCTGCCATGCCCCTTTTGTAACATCAAAGGAATTAACTTTGATCCCTTTGGTAATAGAAGCCTCCCCTTAAATAATAACTGACCATTCACCAACTTATAACCTGGTCTGCTGGAAGGGTCTTGGGTGATGTCCCAAATAGTATCCTGTAAGTTTTGGTCTGCTCTTACTTCTTCTGCTAGAACATCCACCTGCACTACTGTAGGGGTTATTATCACCATTAATTCAATAGATGAACTAACTCGGGACAATGCATCAGTTGCTTTATTTTCGCTCCCGGGACGATATTGAATTTCAAACTGATACCCCATCAATTTTACTAACCACTTTTGATACTCTGGATTGACCTGTTGTTGATCTATTAAGAACTTCAAACTTTGTCGATCAGTTTGAACAAAGAATTTATGTCCCGGCAAGTAATGTTTCCATTTTTGTACCGCAAAAATGATGGCCATCAGTTCTCACTCCTATGCTGATTTTACTCTCCCCTTCGGATTAAGAGCATGGCTAAAAAATGCAATGGGATGTTGGTTCTTCATAAGTACTGCCCCCAACCCAGATCTCGAGGCATCGGTCTCTATGATGAAGGGTTTGCTAGTCAGGAAGGGCAAGAATCGGCACAGTAGTCACGACGACTTTCAATTTGCCAAAAGCTCGTTCGGCTTCATCATCCCAGAAAAAATTGTCCTTACGCAGATGCTTAGTTAATGGCCACACCAACTTTTCATAATCCTTAACAAAATTACGGTAGTACCACGTTAACTCGAAAAATCCCCGCAACTCTCACAAGGAACCGGGGCTTGACCAATCTATCATGGCTTGAATTTTTGTCTTGTCCGCAGCTACCATGTGGTCAGAAATAATGTGCCCAAGATATTCCACTTCTTCCTGTCCAAAGCTACATTTTTTTCTGTTGACATACAACTGATGTTGGGCTAGCACTTGTAATACGCTCCTTAATGCCCCACATGTTCCTCCTTATTGCGACTGAATACTGAGATGTCATCAAAGAGTACCAACATAAAGTGGCTCAGCTTTTCTTTGAATACTTCATTCATGAGCGAATGAAATGTGGCAAGGGCACTAATGAGACTAAACAGCATGACGACGAACTCATAATGCCCTTCATGTGTCTTGAGGGCTGTCTTTGAAATGTCTTCAAGTTTCATGGTTTGGGGCGGAGTAAGACCCACCACTGAATTCATGGATAATTCCCCCAACTCACCGGTCACAAGCTTCTCTCCTTCAGTCATTTCCTCAGTTGGCTCCTCAATTTCACCCTCATCTTGTCGTTCATCGTCAAAAACTAGCATCACCTGTAATTCCTTGTTCTTGCACCTGTGCCCAATGGGGTATTTCTCATCACAGCGGAAACATAATCCTCAGTTTTTATTGGCTTTCAATTTGGCTTCACTGAGCCTCTTAAACAACAGGTTGGCAGTACTGGTGGAAGCTGGAGCTTTGGCCGTCGACGGTTTCGTGTTGGTATTTGGGGAAGGATCCGATTGATTTCTTGTGGGTGGAAGGTACCAATTTAAGTTGGAACTAGATTTCTGTTTTAATGATCCAGATCTATTAGCGTGGGCTTGTAGGGCCTGATTGTTCTCCTCAATTTTCTGGGCCAATTCCATAATTTGGTCAAGCCCCTTAGGCTGTAGCATCCTTACTTCAGCTTTAATTTCTGGGCTCAGCCCATTTACGAAGTGGCCCTCTAATATGGCCTCCGAAATATCTCCAATCGGTGCTGCCAATGACTCGAAGGCGTTCTGATAAGCCATCACTGATCCTTCTTGTCGAAGAGCCAGAAATCGCTCTTCTGTGGTACCTTCCAGGGCTGATCTAAATCGAGTCCGCAACAACCCTTTGAGCTCCTCCCAATTTCACACACCTCTCAGCTTTTGCTCCCATTAGTACCAAGACAGAGCCCCTTCCTCGAAACACAAACCAGCAGTCTCCAATTTCTCCACATCTGTCAATTGGTTCACAATGAAATAACGTTCAGCCCGGAATATACATTCATCTGGATTTTTACCCATAAACACTGGCATCTCCAACCTCCTCCCTCTGAATTCGGTTCTCCAGTTCTTGCCGGTCGTTCTGTCCGTTTCTCTGCCACTCATCTCCATGCTCAGAAAAATCTCAGATTGCACATTGTATTCTGAGTCCTTCACTCTGACTTGTCCCTTGCCTTTCCTGTCTCGTTCAGCCTCCTCCCATTTGGTCCTCATGAAGGTGAATTGCTTTGAAATAATGGCCATGTTCTTTTCCATGTTCTGTACCCTTTGCAACTCAGCCTTTATCCTATCCATTCCCATTTGCATTCCTTCCCATTGCACCTGTAGTTTTTACTGAGTCCCTTCTAAACTTCCTACTCGATCTGCCAGATTTACCATCAAGATTGGTTTGCTCTGATACCAATGATATGAACCTGAAATAATTTCACTTCACCAAGCGAACTTTAAAGTAATTGATAGGCTGAAATAGAACTATAATATTCCTTTGCTGAACTTTGATTACAAATAAACAAACCTCCTAAAGGAAAACAGATTTGGAATGCAAGATAACAGAAAAAAATAACAAGGAGGGACGTTCGAGAGGTCCACTACTCTCCCAATGACTACCAAATTCTCCCTTCCCTGCTGCAATTCCATTCCCTTATTTTATAGGTTGTTCTGTTCCTAGACTGTTCCTCTAACCAACCATGCATGTGGCTTCTTCTCCTCATACATTTCCCATTTTACCCTTGCGTCTTTGATAGATAATCTGTATTGCGGGTCTAACAAATTTCTATTCAACAGAGTTCATTGACTATGAGCTCTATATTTTCCGTGATTATTAGTTTCAACATTTTTTGGTTTCGGGGAATCACATTGGAACATTTTGCTGGAGACAGAAGTTGTGCAACATGATTATTATTTTTTTAACTTCTCATACAAAAGAACTAACAAAGAGAAATTGTATGTTTTTTCAAGCGTAGTTGCTCAGTTTTTCAGTGTTGTAAGTTCCCTTTGTTCTTTATTTTCCACTTTTTGTCTTCTTAAAAGGACATTAACATTTAGTCAAAGTTTCATTTATTCAATGCTATGTGTTAATGTAGTATGTGCAACTCCGTAGGAGTAAGCGGTAAAGAATAATTAGTGTATTTTACATTGTTGATAATGACAGCTTCTTGTGGATGCAGGGAAACTTCGATCTGGTGGGAAATAACTTCCCTGTCTTTTTTGTTCGCGATGGGATGAAATTCCCAGATATGGTTCACGCTTTGAAACCCAATCCAAAGTCCCACATTCAGGAGAACTGGAGAATACTCGACTTCTTCTCCCATCATCCAGAGAGCTTGAATATGTTCACTTTCCTCTTTGATGATCTGGGTGTTCCACTGGATTACAGACACATGGAAGGCTCTGGCGTCAACACCTATACTCTAATCAACAAGGCTGGGAAAGCATATTATGTGAAGTTCCACTGGAAGCCAACATGTGGTGTGAAGTGTTTATTGGAGGACGATGCTATTAAGGTTGGAGGAGCTAATCACAGCCATGCCACCCAGGATCTCTACGATTCAATTGCAGCTGGTAACTATCCAGAATGGAAACTTTTTATTCAGACAATGGATCCTGATCATGAAGATAGATTTGATTTTGACCCACTTGATGTAACCAAGACCTGGCCAGAGGACATCTTGCCCCTGCAGCCAGTGGGTCGCTTGGTATTAAATAAGAACATAGATAACTTCTTTGCGGAGAACGAGCAGCTTGCATTTTGCCCTAGTATTATTGTCCCTGGGATTTATTATTCCGATGATAAGCTGCTCCAAACTCGTATATTCTCTTATTCTGATACTCAGAGGCACCGTCTGGGACCAAACTATTTGCAGCTTCCAGCTAATGCTCCCAAGTGCGCTCATCACAACAACCATCATGAAGGATTCATGAATTTCATGCATAGGGATGAGGAGGTACTTTAATGATTCCATACTACTTCATTGGAGATCACTTACATTCAATTTCTTGGTTCCTAACTAACATCCTTGGGTAATTTCTAAAGTGCTTTGAGATTTAATATATTGGTATTTTCTTTTATTATTTATGTGCACTTTAAGAAACAATACTGGGGGCCTAAACACTTAAATTCAGTTATTGCCATGAGATTTTGTATCTTGATGCATGGAGACGGTTGTCTAAAAAAAGTATGTTTCATGCTCTGATTTTATCATCATGTTTTAACCAGACGTTCCAACTGTTTTCCAGGTCAATTATTTCCCGTCAAGATATGATGCCAGTCGTCATTCTGAGAGGTATCCCATTCCCACTGTTGCATTATCAGGGAAGCGCGACAGGGTATGTATTGATTGTGTTCTTGATTCTGTTGCTAGAAGTTTCAGTTTATCATGATTCTTAACTTTGTTAAAACTTAAAGGTTTTTCTTGGTGTTTACAACTAATTTGAGTTCAAGAAGGAAAAAGTCCAGAACACTTTTCTAGCATAAGCAGTGAATCCCAATCCTAGCTTTATAGTGCATGTATAGTACTATACTTACTTCCATGTTTGTAACTCATTTCATTCAATGGATAATTAACCCAAACAAAGATTCTCAAGATCTCTATTGGTTGTCACGGCTGTAGAAGGAGCGACCAATGTATTTCCTCTGGTGTAGAAGTCAAACGGTGAAATAAAAGAACAAAAATTATGAATTTTATCTTAGTAGCAGAAGTGGAAATAAGTGGAGGTGAGTTGGTGCTGTTGCTGGCACTGAAGGATGTTTGTTGATACTTTTTGGTTTAATAATTTTTGCAGCATCGATGCTCATTCCTCCCCCTTCTCCCACTGTTTCGTCTCCCTTTGTGGGTATTTAGTTCACATTACAACAAGAGAAAAGTGTTATTAGTATATTTTGGGAGTTTGGAGCTCACACTTTTAGTGCGTGTTTTGCAGGGAGGATTGGATAGCACTAGATAATGTTTAAGGAAGAATATAAAAGATAAAATCTTGTTTAGTATTAGTGTGTATCATTACATGATATGTAACACCACAGATATAAAGTTCAACAAGCAACCTTTAAGATTTTAAGTTCCTGAAATGACATATGAATATAATCCCTCGATAGATAGTTTTGCAGCTGAGAAATTCTTGTGCGAGTTGAATGGCACTTTGTTTATTATTGCAGTGCATCATCGAAAAGGAGAACAACTTTAAGGAACCAGGAGAAAGATACCGTTCCTGGGCACTGGACAGGTAACTAATCTCTAGTCATTAGTCAACTTAGAAATTTATAAAATGACTATCATGCAAGTTGATTTATCTGCTTATTCCCATTTCTCCTTCAGGCAAGAGAGATTCATCTGCCGGTGGGTAGATGCTTTATCCGATCTCAGGGTCACCCATGAGATCCGTAGTATCTGGGTTTCATACTGGTCTCAGGTCTGATTACCCATACCTTTCTCATATGTTCGGCACTGAGGATTTATAGCACTGAACAGTATTAAATAAGAAGCTAAAATCTTATTCATTATACTATCCAGTCCTCTGTATACTTTGTTACCAGTATTTTCTATATTTGCTTTCAAGGTTATGTACTCAGTTTTTGATTTTTATGCTGCAGGCCGATAAGTCCCTTGGTCAAAAGCTCGCCTCACGTCTCAATGTAAGACCAACAATGTAGAGACTGTGAGAATACGGGATGTTTTCAGTTGCTGTGGGCGGAAGAGTAATGTAGACAGGATATGTTGTTCGGAAGTATAAAGTCACTCGTACTTCTTTTATAACTGTATTCTTATATGTAATGAAGAAACTAATGTTGCCTTAACCACAATAATATTATATTGAATGTAAGAAATGACAATTGTACTCTCTCCACCAACTCGATCTTTGTCTACTGGTGATTACTGGTTATTGTCGCACAATCATTTGAGAAGGAACCCGAAAAAGCACAAATTCGGAACTAAAACTATGTATTTGCAAAGTTGGGTCGTGATTGTGCAGTGAAGTTGTGGGTTTTTGCACATATATGGGTTTTTCTTTTGCTATAATAAAAATTAAAAACTTCTGTATGTCCCGCAGCAAGAAAGGAAAAGTGAAGGCTTCCATTACTTGGCTTGTGAAGTCTGGTAGATAATGAGGTATATTTGAAGCTTGAAAGGGGCTTCAAATGGTAAGTTTGAAGCATATAGCGTTTATAGACTTCATTGGTCGTCAAATTGACATGTTGCTGGGTATTTTTAGTGTTTGGTAGTTGACATAGCCATTGATTTAGTACGCCCTCCATCTTATAAAAATATGCTTGCTTTCCTTCTTTTATTTCTCCCAAATAATAGGCCACTTTCTTTATTGAGAATTAGGGGAAAGTAAAACGTGTTATTCCATTAGAAATATTTGTAATGTAATAGTTTTTTGTTGTAAAAATGGTTTTAAAGTTGGTTTGACCAACTTTTGATAAGTTATTTGAATGAATCTTGATAGTTAGGCGAAAGATTTTATTAATCAAGTGTATTTTACTCTACGAGTATATCAATGTAGTATATTTATTTTCTTACAAATAATTTCGAGTAAATGAGAAGTTAAGACCAAAATATGCCACTAGAAGTAGAAATAATTTGGGAATAAAAATCTGTGAAAAATAGGAAAAATGTTAGGAAAACAGGAAGGATAAAATTCACTTTTTATTGCTCAAGTTTGATAGTTGGCTTTGGGATGCACTTGATATCAATAGTCTTTGAAAGGAAAATGACCTACATTCGGGTAAGTTGGGCCAAAATTTACACGTGCATGCCGTAGTCGTCCATTCAATTGATTGACCGACTTGGCTTTGATCGACACTACAAGTGCATGGGCACAAATCTTGGGCTTGAACTTGGGCTTGGCCCAAGTTATTGTTAAATTAAATAATGTATTATATATTTCTCCTCGAATTTTTTTTGTTCTCGACAATTTGCATCTTCTTCTGAAGAGTTTTGTTAAAATTGTCTGTTTGAGCAGTTGCTGTCTGTCAAGAGAGGTTATGTCTGTTCAAGACACAACTTTTCAATATTTTTATCTTTTGAATACAATATTTCAACTTATGTAAATTGACCCTCACATGTTGGATTTCGTTCATTTCAAAATCAATTCAAATCTCTTGCAAAGTTAAGATTCCTTTCCTTCATGCATCATTCTGAATTTCATATTTAAGTCTCAAATATTATGTAGAAATTACATTCTCTACTGTCTTGACAATACATTAGATAGTGTATACATTTTGATCAAGACGGCTAAACTACTTTGAGAATCCTTGAAAAAGTACAAAATAGAAGGTGTCAGATTAAATAAATTTGTTGTTGGCAAATTCCTATACTTCAAAATGGTGGATTTCTATAAAAGTGATTAATCAAGTCCAAGAACTACTGATTATCTTGTACGAGATACGTGTATAAAGCATGAAGCTGAGCGAGTCATTTCAAGTTGCCACGATTATTAAGAAATTATCACCAATGTAGAAAAAATATCAAGAACTACTTGAAACACAAATGAAAGAATTGATGCTTGAATAGGTTATTGTAAGATGAAGAAATCAGGAAGACAATCAAAATTTTGTAGTCAATTTAATGAAGCCAAATACTAGCAAGAAAAGGAAGCACTCTGGTAATAGCAAGCAAAAGAGAAAGACCAAGAAATTTGATGGAGAATCCTATAACTGCATTAACTTAAGCCATTTCGCTAAGGATTGTCAACATAAAATGCATAACAAAATGGACTAAGCGCACTTGATCGAGAAAGACAAATTGTGTTAACGATGTGTCTAAACTGATGCTCTCAATTGTTGTATTTGAAGCAAACATGGTAGGCAGTCTGAGAGAACGATTCACTTACACTGACGTTTTTCTTCACGTTTGTACTAATAAGGAGATACAATATCTTACACTCCTACCAATGGGCAAGAAATTTGATGGAGAAAGTTGCAAATGGAGGCTATAGTCAATTTAATGAAGCCAAATACTGGCAAGAAAAGGAAGTACTCTGATAATAGCAAGCAACACCAAGAAATTTGACGAAGAATG